AAATTTTAAGCAGTTTCCATAAGATTCCAGTCTGTTGAGAGAGCTAGTGAACTGTTAGGTTACGGTCGATATGGCTGATTTCACGGATTTTTTTTTCACGTCTTCCGGCGTTTTACTAATGACTGATCGCCCTAGTCGATCGGCTGGTCTTGAATCGAGAGTACAAGTCAAAAACAATGTTCGGGCTGAAGAAGGTTTGCTAAAAAAAAGAAAAAAAAGTATAAAACATTTTCAGGATCTCAGACGTTGCTCAAAATTCTCAGCCACCGTAAAGATCTCAGAGTCGTTCCACTACAACATTTCAAAACCTCGCGTGTAATTTCAACACCAGCAGCTAGGCCGTCGCCTATTGGCAAACCGTCTTAGTAGTTGGAGTATTAATGGGCGTTAACTACACGCGTATTTCCACTGAATGATCAAGTCTACCCTGGCAAATGTGCCAAAAATCAATCACCAAAGAAGAGTCGAAGCATCACTGTAAACAATAAAATCGGATTGATGTGGATTATAATACAAAATATGAAAATGCCATGTCCACCCAGGACGTAGGCGGCCATGACTAGTCATACATTCCTTGTCTTTATTATCTGTGAATTATATCTTCTTGGGAAAGATCGTACATTGGTTTCCCATTGCTTTTTTCATAGTTTGGAATTTAGTTTTCCTTCTCAGATTAGCTTCCATCCAAGGCCAGAGTGTCCAATGTACCCGGCTATTTAACTTAAGGTAGAGAAGGAACGGATTCGCGCCTTTTCCCCGGGTAAATTGAACGTAACAGACTATACCGGAATTTGAACTCGGATCGCTGAATCTACATTTCGAGTCAGATAAGCGTGATGCTACCCGCACACCCCATGAACTGCTAGCTAGGTATTAATTAATTCCAAGTTCTCAGACGCCATCTACGCAGTTGATAGTCAAGAAATCGAGAAAGGAGGCAAGATGAATACAGTCTTGCGCAAGAGTATTTGTGCGAAAATAAAATACGACTGACTAGTCTGGCATTTGAACTCGGCTCACCTATTCCGCGCAAATATCTATTATATTACACTGAGATTTCTAATGCTCAGCGTGAAATTAACCAAAGATTTTTAATTATTTTCCGTAACTGCGGTCTTAAGCCATGATATTATAAGTAAGTCTGAGTGTCAATATCTTTAGCCCGCTGCCATATTTCAGCCGACCCGCAGATCATATACAGATATTTTAAAAGAGTAAACTTTTTGTTTTTTCTTATACTGTTTTTATATACAAATCAAAAGCTGTCTAACCTTCTCGCCCGCAAAACAAAACGGCGTCTCAAAAGGACGGTTATTCCCTTGACACCGTTATTATTATCTGTCTATATTTCTGAGATGAGGTATGGTAATTATTTACATTGTTCGGACTGTTGTCCTCAACTTTATTGCCATATACACGACGTTTCGGCCGTTGTACGTTCCGGCCTTCTTTATGCATCATTGCAGCTCTCTCTCTCATCAGATCAACCTGTAGTCCCATGACAGGTTGAAAGCCAAATACTGAGAAACTTTTACAAATGCAAATCAAATAAAGGAGGTTCCGCTTTCAATTTTTTTTTGTCCGACAATTACAGCAGAATGTACGCATGTGAGAAAGAATTCTGTGATGAAATATGCTATACTTGCACACAAGTCGATTTTAGGTGATTCAAATGTATAGGAAATAAATGTATAGGACACATTGCACAGTGGATAAAAGCGTTGGTTAGATCCGGTGACAGGGCCCAAAAAGTGTGTGTTCAATACCCCGCTGAGGCAGTGGAGAACTTGGAAAGGGCAATTAACAGGAGATAACTGATAACTGGCATCCACTAAACATGGCACGTGGAACTAGAACAGACTACCCCAGTGAGCGAAATAAAGGGTTCAGTTCGACATTCCAACCACCTGAATAAGGCCGGAGCGTACAACGGCCGAAAAGATGAGGACAATATTCCGAATAATGTAAATAGTGTACATAATATCTCATCTCAGAAATATAGACGGATACTGAAGAAGGCTGGAGCGTACAACGGTCGAAACGTTGTAATAAATATGGCGACAAAGATGAGGACAATAGTCCAAATAATGTAAATAGTGTACATTATGTACACTATTTACATTATTCGGACTCATCTCAGAAATATAGACGGATACTAAAGAAAAATAAATTTCATAATTCTCATCGATTCTCGATCTCGTGCTAAAAAGATGCATTTATAATAAAAAATGATTTCATTTGGTTTAAAATAAATTATTAAAAATATATTATTACGAGATGTTTCACAATTTTTAAACAAAATGGCTGGTCACAAATCAAGGACCGCAAATGATAGAGTAATGGAAATTAAATTTATTGAAGCGTAAAAGGATAACCTTTTAGAATCTGCAACCATTTAGTCTCAAACATGAATCAAAAATGTCAAGAGGAACTCTAGAGTACATGCTCCAGATGTCCGCCGTTCAGTTGAAGACACTGTTGAATGCAAAGTTGTTGATAACGCGTGCACATTCCTCTTGGGTGATCACTTGAATCTTCTCAGTGATGGCTGCCTTCAATTCAGCACTGGTGCGAGGGTTGCCCTGGTCGATGTTGTCCTTGAGGAACTTTCAGAGGAAGAAATCTGGCGGCGGGTGGGGTCAGGCGAGTGAGGTGCCCATTCCACTTCAGCTTTGCGGCTGCTGAGACGCTCGCCAAACTTGGAGCCGTGCCATGGTAACATTAGCAGTGTGTGAGGAGGAGCACCATCCTGCTGAAACCACTGTTCCTCTTCATCGAGGTCCTCACGCACCTCGAGCTCTCCCCATCTGGGGGGGGGGGGCGCTTCTTTGTTTCGACAATTGTGTAACACCTGTATTTTAGTTTGATATGCAAGGATTGCACAGAAAATAGCACTTTTTTTATATTATTATACCGACTGATGTCAGAGGGTGTAGCTTATTATATCGACTGATATCAGAGTCTGTAGCTTATTATATCGACTGATATCAGAGACTGTAGCTTATTATATCAACTGATATCAGAGACTGCATCTTGTATTATAGTCGTAGAGAACTCATAATTTTTTGTCTTGCTACAGACAGAAGCTGAACGGTAATTTTCTAAAATAGTGTCTGACATGAAAGTGCATGTGAGGCAGAAGTATATCAATGAATTCCTTTCTGCTGGACATGTTGCACCCATTGATATTCAGTGAAAGTTGCTGAACAATTGCAGAGAAGAAACAATAGATTTGAAAAGGTTAAATGTGAGTATCAGCATTCTAAGAGCGATGTGTGGAGAAATACCACGTGCCGGACACTGATCGACAAAAACAATGTTATCGCTCCGTGAAAATGTGGTAAATATAGAGTTTTGTAGCTGAAAACTTGCTCTATCTAACGCGGTTAGTGTTTTCCTGTATTTGTTCTTTCGCTGGAAATAAATAGTCATTACTTTAAGAGTCTCCTTCATATAGCAATTGTTTTACTTTGAGTTTGTCTTGGCCAACAGGTAAAAAAAAAGACTGCCAGTCTGTCCCATTTCCAAGACAAATGTTTGCCGAAACCTGAGCTAACCTAATATTAACAAATTCCCAAAAGACGACTGAAATAGAGTTGTACGTCAAATAACAGTTTTTAAGGAAAGGTTAATAAGAACCAGAAACAAAAAGTGACTAGAATAACAGCTACCTGGGAGGCACTGTTAATGCTATCGCCGGCTTTGGTAAGCAAAGATGGCTTCCTCTCATGAAACCATCTTCTCCTTCTCTGTGCCGTTTCTCTTCGGGACGTGGGCGATCATGTCACTTCATAACATCGCAGTTCTTAATAATGTTTGTTTTTTACAATCTCTCCCCACTCCCCGTTCTACGATCCATTCACACAAGTTTGTCAGGTAAAAGGCCCACTTCTCTCTGTCCCTCTTCACTTCCCTCTGTCCCTCTTCACTTCCCTCTATCCCTCTTCACTTCTATCTGTCCCTCTTCACTTCCCTCTGTCCCTCTTCACTTCACTATGTCTTTATTCACTTTCCTCTGTCCCTCTTCACTTCTCTCTGCCCATCTTCACTTACCTCTGTTCCTCTTCACTTCCCTCTGTCCTTCTTCACTTCCCCGTACCTCTTCTCTTCCCTCTGTCCCTCTTCACTTCTCTCTGTCCCTCTTCAGTTCCCTCTGTCCCTATTCACTTCCCTCTGTCCCTCTTCACTTCCCACTGTCCCTCTTCACTTACCTCTGTCCCTCTTCACTTCTCTCTGTCCCTCTTCACTTCCCACTGTCCCTCTTCACTTCCCACTGTCCCTCTTCACTTTCCTCTGTCCCTCTTCACTTCCCCTCAGTCCTTCTTCACTTCCCAGTCCCTCTTCACTTCCCACTGTCCCTCTTCACTTCCCTCTGTCCCTCTTCACTTTCCTCTGTCCCTCTTCACTTCTCTCTGCCCATCTTCACTTACCTCTGTTCCTCTTCACTTCCCACTGTCCCTCTTCACTTTCCTCTGTCCCTCTTCACTTCTCTCTGCCCATCTTCACTTACCTCTGTTCCTCTTAACTTCCCTCTGTCCCTCTTCACTTCTCTCTGTCCCTCTTCACTTCCCACTGTCCCTCTTCACTTCCCTCTGTCCCTCTTCACTTCCCACTGTCCCTCTTCACATTCCTCTGTCACTCTTCACTTCTCTCTGTCCCTCTTCACTTTCCACTGTCCCTCTTCACTTTCCTCTGTCCCTCTTCACTTCTCTCTGCCCATCTTCACTTTCCTCTGTCCCTCTTCACTCTCTGTCCCTCTTCACTTCCCCACTGTCCCTCTTCACTTTCCTCTGTCCCTCTTCACTTCTCTCTCCCCATCTTCACTTACCTCTGTTCCTCTTAACTTTCCTCTGTCCCTCTTCACTTCCCTCTGTCCCTCTTCACTTCCCAGTCCCTCTTCACTTCCCACTGTCCCTCTTCACTTCCCACTGTCCCTTTCACTTTCCTCTGTCCCTCTTCACTTCTCTCTGCCCATCTTCACTTACCTCTGTTCCTCTTAACTTCCCACTGTCCCTCTTCACTTCCCTCTGTCCCTCTTCACTTCACTATGTCTTTATTCACTTTTCTCTGTCCTCTTCATTTTCCTCTGTCCCTCTTCACTTCTCTGCCCATCTTCACTTCCCTCTGTCCCTCTTCATTTCCCTTTGTCTCTCTTCACGTCGCTATGTCCTTTGCGTTTCAAATTTTTCAAACCCGCCTTCCGCATCATTTATCAAAATAAAAACTCAGTTGTCATTTTCTGATTCTAAATACAAGTGTAATTTTGCTACTATTTTCCTTAAGACGTCCTCGTTGTTTATACGGGTCATCTATAGCAATGACTTGAACATGAAGTTTCGGAACACCTATTGAATGAAGAGTAACAAAAAATTAAAATGAAATAAATACTATTCACATATTAATTATGTAGGACAATACTACGTTTTATTAAACAAATATATAAAAATATCAAGAAAATACTACTACAAATACTACGAATGGGCGGGAAAATATTAATAACAAATATGGCAGTGATTGATCGTGAGAAATTTAAAAATCAGTTTATCTGGTTAGAATTGATCTTCTATCAATTGAATAAGTGTCCTGGTTCCGTGGGGAATAGCAAAAATCACGCTAAGATAGGCTTCTACAGGAAAAAGGTATACAGGTTCGATTCTCAGCTACAGCTTATTTGATATTCTTGTTTATTTGTTGCCAAAGAATGAGTGTCTGATTAGCTGAGACGAAAAACAACTGAAATTAAGATGAAAGAAATACGTCGAAAATTAATAATGGTTGATAATGCTTCGTCTAATAAAAATTCAGTATACTATTACAATTAATAATGCTACTAATGTAATAAAAAGCAAAGGAATTTTAAGATGAAAGAAATACTCATAAAAATTAATAATGTCTGACAATACATCATCTAATGAAAAACCAAGATAACATTGCTAATAATGGTAATCGTATCTGAGATGGACAGGATATAGAGAAGTATGCATGAGAAAAAAGTAAACAAAATGGTGAATGAGAAGAAGAAGAAGAAGAAGAAGAAACATGAGCAAAAGAAAGAAAAAGAAAAGAATGGGAAAGAGAAAGAAAGAAGTATCATAGAAAAGACATAAAAAAGAAACGGAATAAGTAGAAGGAAACCAAGAAGAAGAAAAAATGCAGAACTGTAAATATAGAGAACAAAAGCAATAAGATCAAAGAGAGAGGAACAGAGAGAAAAAAAAAGGCACGACAGTGATTAACCTCCATTGTTATCAGCGTTTTGTGTTGTCCAACCGCCATTTTGGACTTGTAATCAATGGGAGATAACAAACATTCGTTGTGTGTAAATATAATGATGACCAAACAACCAGACATGGATACTCTACACAGGTATATTATGTATGTGCGCATACTTATATAAAGGTACCGTATTTGATTTTATGTACAGCTTTTGATGTATCTGTATATATGGAAGGATATGAATATGAAGATAGATAGATAGATAGATAGATAGATAGATAGATAGATGAATGATTTTTAAAAAGAAGCTACTTAAAATTTTTGACCAGTATATGGGTTACCTAATTTTTGCACAAGAATTAGTACTTATTAAACATGTTTAAGAATAAAATAAATAAAAAAGACATTTCTAAGTAAACAAGCAGAACTGGCAGAATTTTTGCATACGACATAAAAGAATTTATTTAGTAATTAATTTTATGTTTTTCGTTCCCTTTTTTGTGTTGTTTAAAACACACTGACATCCGTAGCTGAGTTGCTTCAGATTTGGTCAAATTGCAGTAATGTTTATTAGAAAAAAACTGCTTGTAAAATAACGTGTCGATAGCCAGATAGATAGATAGATAGATAGATAGATAGATAGATAAGTAAGGTATTGGTTACGCAAAAACAACTTATTTCTTGTCATTTAGAAGGGCTTAGGATAATTTCTATTCTTCTTCTATGTGCCATGCACTTTCAGAAACTGGGCGATCATGGATCTCCACAACGATTGTCTCTTTGCCGAGCCACCCGCTCCTCTTTACATCACCCATTTAAACTCGCTGCACAAGTTTAGCTTAAACTGCAATAAGAGCAAAACTGTGAAGAACCCAATGAGAATTAAGCTCTTTTACATGAGCAACGGTCAGCAAAATTGTTTGAATGGACTTGCAGTGACTGAAGATGCCTATATATATATATATATATATATATATATATATATATATATATATATATATATATATATATAGAGAGAGAGAGAGAGAGAGAGAGAGAGAGATAGACAGAGACAGAGAGAGATAGACAGAAACAGAGTCCGTGATGCGAGCCTTATTTTGGTCTGTTGCAAAAGAGTTCGAGTCGAGTTCCTTAGACCGTCTCTGACTGTCTAAGCCATTGCTCCTCGGTGATGCGTTCATATACTAGTATGGATCAATAATTCCATGGACTGATATAGTTATTAATTAAATGTACATCTGAATATTTCACTCTATAATGCACAATCATTGCTATTACACGGAGATGAGTTTGATAAAGTGCATTGACAATAAAAACACGGAAATGAAATATGATGATAAATATTTGTTGAGTAAAATAAATCGATTAGGATACGTACATATTAATTTAATTGCATATATATATATATATATATATATATATATATATATATTAGTGAATATACATAATATCCAACGTCGATAACACTACTGGAGTTTCATACAGTTAATGCAATCTTCAGGTGGATCATAATACATTCTCAAATAACTAAACATATCAAACTACTATACCGTAATCAAATGCATTCTAATTATAAGCAAAAGGAAAAAGTTCTAAAACGACTCATAAACATTATTATATCCCCACTGATATAGTAGGGCATAAAATTAATTATATATTCTACTATATTTAATAGAACCAAGCTAGACATCTATAACAACTCTTCTCCGTCAACTAGCGTCTTACATAAGACCAACCTCGTATATCAATTTAAACGTTCTTTCCGAGGTTGCACCACAGATAAAAATGTTAATACGCTTGTTGGATTTACAAAAACGATAATGACGCGAAGGCTTGCGTTTCACTTAAACGATTACAGTTCAATCTAAGTACATTTAAAGGAAGCAAAATCAAGTAAAGTAAGCGACCTAAGCCACTCCCTACAAACTTTTTACCACGTTAATAAAACATAGAAAACTGAAAAGAATAAACAAATATATAAAATAAAAACTGATAATAAAAAACGAGTAAAATAAATTAACCCAAATAAATAAATAAGCCGCTCCCGCCAAAATAATCACCAGAACGGATGACCCACAATGCACCACGGACACATATATATAAATAGCCAAGGAAAAAATCCAACATTTGTTGCCTGATGATTGCGTCTAGCATGAAACAGCCTGTCGTCTCTGAGTGTTGATTTCAAGATTCACTTTTATATATATATATATATATATATATATATATATATATTTATATGTATGTGTATATATATATATATTTTTTTTGTATGTGAGGTTAAGTGAGAGAGGCCGAATGTATGTGCATGCGAGAGAGCGTGAGATACAAAGTGACAGCGTGTATATGTATGCAGGTGTGTGCGAGAAAAAGACAGTGTATGGGGGGGAAAAAACAGACAGAGACAGAATGCATGTATATGTGTGAAACGAAAGAGGCCATATTAATGTGTGTGTGTGCGTGCGTGCGTGTGTGTGTGTGTGTGTGTGTGTGTGTGTGTGTGTGTGTGTGTGTGTTAATCCTTAGTTAAGGTTGTTTACATGTAGATAACTGTCTCTTGTCTTGTACGAGATAGCGAAGGAATTGCCTGACTTGTGAGGCTGTCGGTATTTTCGCAAGGCACCAATTCGGCTGCACATCTATGTGGTTATGCAACTGTGTGTGTGTGTGTGTGTGTGTGTGTGTGTGTGTGTGTGTGTGTGTGTGTGTGTGAGTTTGTAAGAACGAAAAAAGTAGCAGTAGCTGCAGCAGATGCACTGGAATAAAAAATACGGAAGAAAATGAAAAAAAAACTTGGTAAACGTTTTTGGGGAGAGCAAAAACAAAAGATGAAAACAAAGAAAGAAAGAAATGATAAGAAAAAAAATAGAATAAAGAAATAAATCAGAAAAAAAGAAAAAAAAAAAAGAAAAGAAAGAAAGAAAAAAAGAAAGAAAGAAAGAAAGAAAGAAAGAAAGAAAGAAAGAATAAATACAGGGAGGAAAATGGAGAAAGAGAAAAACAAGACGAAGATGTTTCGTTTGGTTTTGATTGTTTTTGTTTTACGGCAACTCCATGGGTTATTTAATGTCGAAATCTAAATATTCTGTACGCATTTTTAAACCTACAGCCTTTTGTACATAATTTTATCCTTTCAAAAAAAACCTATGTTTTTTCGATATGTATTTAGTAGATGATAAAATGTATTGTTGGTAATTTTTCAAAAAAGTGAATTGCTGGTAATTTCACTACAAAAATGCATTGTTGGTAGTTATTTTATAAACATCTATTGCTAGTAATTTTACTATAAAATGAATTTTTATACTTTAATGTTGCGTTGATTGCCATTTTGCTATAAAACTGAATCGGTAGCCATTTTACATTAAAAATGTAGTGTTGGTAATTTTTATGAAAATGTATTACTGGTATTTTTACTATAAAAATGTATTTTTATGATTTACTAGTGTTTTGATTTTTGAGTGGTGGTTCACTATTTGCCCATAGCTGGGACCCAAACATGTGCTACTACACCTAGTCAGGGTGGATCTGGGAACAAGAGCAATTAAGAGGTGGTTCAACGCTCTTCAAAAGCTCCAATCTCCCAATCAGAAGCATTGCCGCTGGATGTAATTTATCCAGGACTAGAAAGACAAAAAGAAAAAGAAATGCAGTACAGAATTTGAAGAGAAATGATAATTCAAATGAAATTCCAGGAATTTCTTTTTGGTACCAATGACAAACTTTTTTTCATTCCATCGATAATCGCAAAAACATTTTACCATTTATCGTGGAGAGAATAAAAGGA